ATTTCGTCAGCACCCGAGGAGATGGAGAGGAACCCAGTACCTCCACCTATTGTTCAGGATGAGGATATGGATATGCGGAGTGCAGTACAATTGTTGGCTAAATTAGTAGCCGCTCAGGCTCAACGCCAGGTAGATACAAGTGTTGGTGATGTTAACAAGGTTATTAGCGCGAGAGTTCGAGACTTCATCAACCTGGACCCTCCAGTGTTCACCGGATCCAACAAGGATGAGGACCCGTAAAACTTTATTGATAGGATGTAGAGGACCTTGAGGGTAATGCATGCATCAAACACTGAGTCAATAGAGTTGTCCTCATACCGATTGTGGGATGTTGCGATTCAGTGGTATGAAACTTGGGAATTGTCTAGAGGGACAAATGCATCTCTAGCGGTATGGGAAGAGTTCTCAAGGGCTGTTTTGCATCATTACTTGCCGGCAGAGATTCGTCAGGCAAGGGTAGACAGGTTCTTGGCTAGGGGTGTTCATCGGTCGGTACGGTACGATATTTAGACATTTCGGTTCGGTAGTTTCGGTATTTGGTTTCTTAAAATCTTATACCAATACCGTACCTAACTAAATTCGGTATGGTTCGATTTTTCTTCTTTCGGTTTCGGTTTATTCGGTTTGGTAACTTCGGTTTGTTCGGTTTGAATACTAACTAGTGCATAGAGCCATACACTCTAATGTTCTTAATTAAAGTACTCAAAAATACAAAACTGAAAATGTTTAGTAAAAAATATAAGAAAGTAAAAAACCCATCAAAAAAATGTTTGTTATCAAAACTTTTGTCCAAAACTAGCAAATATTGACCCAAATAGAGAAAATTGTATATAAAAGAATATTTGATCATTAGAAATATCTTGTTACTTGTTTAGAGTTAATTGATGAAGTTTGAGAATAAAGGAAAATAAACTTTTAGATTTTTTATATTTATGTTATAATTGATAATATGTGTTTTGTGTAATATAATATATATTTCGGTATGGTATCGGTATTTCGGTATTTTAATTTAAAATACCAAATACCATACCTAATACCAATTTTTTTAAAAACTTAAACCAAATACCATACCAAATACCAAAATACCGTACACCAAATACCAAAATTTTCGGTTTCGGTACTGTAATTCGGTATTTACCAAATTATGCCCAGCCCTATTCTTGGCTCTTAAACAAGGGAATATGAGTGTGCGGGAGTATAGCCTCCAGTTTGATTCCTTGGCAAGGTGTGCCCACTCGATTGTGGCTGAAATGACTGACCGAGTGCATCGGTTTGTGGTAGGACTTGGGCCACACCTCATTAATGAATGCTTCACGGCCGTTCTGCTTGATGGTATGGATATTTCCCGCATCCAGGCTAATGCTCAGAATTTAGAGGATCGGAAACGACAACAATATGAGAATCGTGATTGGGGTCAGCGTAAGAAGGCTAGGTCTGCTAGGCGAATTGAGGATTTTTCGGGCGATCCTATGTCACCATACCATGTTGAAAGTGTCCGACAGTTACAGAAGCCGTATTATAAGGGATCTGTCTATTCTGAGTCAGGTCAGGGCTCGAGAATTTTGGGTTTTCAGAATCGGAGGGATTCAGCGCAAATGAGGGTGCCTCATCTGCGGTGCAGTCAATGCGGTAGAGCTTATTCTGGACAATGTTGTCAGGGGTCTAATGTATGCTATACCTGCGGAGACCCTAGTCATTACATGAGGGATTGTCCTATAAATGGCAGAAGCAGGATGGTTCGGTCCACCAGATCTATAACAGTCTCCTCATCTTCAGTACGCCCTCAAGAGCGAGGCCCTCAGGCATCAGCTGGTTGAGCTAGAGGCATGGGTGGAGCATCTAGCTCCGGCGGTAGTCAGAACCGCATATATGCTTTGGCAGGTCGTCAGGACCCAGAGGATACACCGGATGATGTGTCAGGTATTGTGATTATTGATAATGTTCGATTTTATTAATGCAAATTGTCCAGTTAATATGATTAATATAAGACTAAGTTTGGCATTACGTATGAAGGGTTAAGGGAAACCAAGGCTAGCTTGAAAGAAAAGCATGAACCCGGTTATTAAGATTACAACCAATAGGTGTCAGCACCTAGAAGATAGATTAACAGAATCATATGTGACGAATGGATTAGGAAGTAGTTTTAGGGAGGGATGGCGTCCTGACCCCGTGAGAGCATGATATTTGTTTCATTGGAGTTTAGCCGGGGAAGATATATATATTTATAATATATTGATATGTATGTACATATTGCAAGTTTAAACATTCGAGAACGAATGTTTCTAGGATGGGGGAGGGAGAAGGATGTTACATCTCGCGTTTTCGTACGATAAAAGTTTCGCCTTCAGTTAATTGACTCAGGGATGAGATTATCTTGAGATTAATGTATTTACGCTTTATAACAAGCGATAAGTAAGTGTCATAAAGGATTTTTGGGTACAAGAATTAAAGAAAATAAGTTTCGTTGAAGGTTGCCGATTTGGGATAAAATACGGGTCGAGCGTTAATACCCAATAATTATGGACTATTACCATGACCACGATAGTATGATATATAAAGCATATTAAAAATAAGTAATATTTTAAGTAGTTGAGATAATTCTAAATTATGCGGATAATTGGTTAATTATAGGGTAGCGGGACATTACCTAGTTAAGTATTAAATTATAGGATAACAGGTGGCAGCGAGGAACCTCAAAGCTAATGACTAAGTAGTCATCTAATGACTAGTGGCCATCTAACGTGTAAAATCAAAAACTGTAGATAAGATTTGGTTTCTTTAAAAAGCTTGGTTCATTCTTGGACAGGGAGGAATTTATTAAAAGTGTAAGTCTTTCAAACCTAGGTTTATTCAAGAAACCACGCTAGGCTTCTACTGGAAGAAAAAAAAAGCTACCAAGAAATTCTTGCAAACAATTCCAACGAGAATTGTTAGAACCGTAGCAACCGTAGCAACGTAAAATTTTACGGTTCTAAAGGAGTACGGTGAAATCTTTTTCAAGAATATTATACGAATTTTTCCTACTCTAGGTATGTTAAGGCTAATCTCTTCTTTCATTTTAGCATGATCCAAGTAATAATACGTAACGTAAATGATATACACATAGTTTAGATTCTAAATCCAGAATCACTAAGATTAATCTCTCCTATCGTTGGAAAAACAAAAGTGGTAATATATATTTCTTGTATGAACTTCCTTATAATGACGATAGGGAATTAATGAAGTATCAAGAAAAGATATTACGCAAAAGAAAAAGACAAGAAAGATATAATATATAAGAGAAGGCATATGGAAAAACCCATATCACATGATTATCATCTACTACTAATTTGTACATAGAGTTCCGCTGTGTTTTAACAAACTTATTCAGCTAGGACATATATATTATAGGGCAGAAAACTCTTACCGGTCAAAAGAGTAAACTAAAATAAACCACATACAATTATCCATAATATTAACATGATTAACCACCTGAGAATTAAGCTTCTCTCTTTCCTAAAATGAATTTCTTCAACACATGACATCCTTAAGAAGCATGTACCTACGAGTGAACGTACGAGGAGACGGTGCTCCGCCGTGATTATTCTTTGGCTTTTGATCATGGGTTCCTTCTTCCCTATGATCATGCTGCTGTTTAATTTTATCACCTGGATATTCTGATCTGCTACTCTCCAATGAATAAGTTGAATCTACCGGTCAGTGTTTATTTTTGTGAGTTATTTTTATTAGCAGGGTAAGACTACACAACAAAGGATTTGAATGGGGACAGTTATGCATCTACCACCGAGCTACGGCCGGTCGGCAGTTACCACCGGCTGGGCAGTTATGTATTATTATTTACTATCGGTTGGGCAGTTATGCATCTACCACCGAGCTACGGTCGGTCGGGCAGTTACCACCGATTGGGCAGTTATGTATTATTATTTATTACCGGTTGGACAGTTATGCATTTACCACTGCGCTATGGTCGGTCGGGCAGTTAACGTCATTAGAACTATTATATTGTAGTTTTATTTATATATACGAGATGGGTTTTATTCTATACGTTACGGCCCTCAGCGGTAAATCAGAAGTTATAAGTTGACTCTTATCTCTCCCTGAGATAGTATCTTATTATTATTACGTTTTATTGTTGCCTTACATACTCGGTACTTTCTTCGTAGTGACGCCCCTTTCACTGGGGCGCTGTGTTTCATGCCATGCAGGTGTAGATAGGTGAGGTGAGGACCATCCACTGTGGGCTGCCTCCAGATATCAGCTTTTGGTTGGTGAACTCCATATCTTCCTGGAGTATTACCGAGTTACGTTCTATATATGTTACTTTATTTTATGAAGATGTCGGGGACCCTCTCCCGACTTATATATTATGATCATGTTTTCTTAGAGATTTTGTAAACAGTGTCCTGTGTATAGCTTTAGGCATGATATGTCAACTGCCTTGTTGGCCCCTATGTATCTATATAATCTTTTTGGAATTAAATATGTGAGTTAAGTTCTAATATTATTAATTACATATATAACTATGGCCTATCATAGCCGTGACGAGTCTTATAGAAAAAAAAGTATGTGGCGCTCGGTTGAGTAGGCACCGGGTGCCCCTCGTGGCCCTCTGATTTGGGTCGTAACAAAGTGGTATCAGAGCAGTTCTGTCCTAGGGTTGCCTACAAGTCGTGTCTAGTAAAGTCTTGTTTATAAATGTGTTGTGCACCATGTTATATAAGCAAGAAACTACATGGAATTTAGGGATCGGTTACCCTTCTTTCTTGATATTAGATCGTGCAATAGAGCAGAGTCATATGGAATAAATCCCTTGACCTTTGACTTGTTTTATATATGCAGCAATGCCTATGAATAGGAACGCTATGGCTAGTCAGAAGAGTAAAGTAGTGGCAAATGAGGGCATGAGTAGAGTACCAATGTCTAGTGAGGGCTAGAGTGAGGCCCCGAGGGGAAATACAACACCCTCGCATAGTTCTCCGATTTCGTCAGCACCCGAGGAGATGAGAAGAAACCCAGTACCTCCACCTATTGTTCAGGATGAAGATATGGATATGCGAAGTGCAGTACAGTTGTTGACTAAATTAGTAGCCTCTCAGGATCAGCGCCAGGTAGATACACGTGTTGGTCACATTAACAAGGTTATTAGCGCGAGAGTTCGAGACTTCATCAACCTGGACTCTCCAGTGTTTACCGAATCCAACAAGGATGAGGACCCGTAAAACTTTATTGATAGGATGTAGAGGACCTTGAGGGTAATGCATGCATCAGACACTGAGTCAATAGAGATGGACTCATACCGATTGCGGGATGTTGCAGTTCAGTTATATGAAAATTAGGAATCATCTAGAGGGACAAATGCATCTCCAGCGGTATGGGAAGAGTTCTCAGGGGCTTTCTTGCGTCATTACATGCTGGCAGAGATTCATCAGGCAAGGGTAGAAAGGTTCTTGACTGTTAAACAAGGGAATATGAGTGTGCGGGAGTATAGCCTCCAGTTTGATTCCTTTGGCGAGGTATGCCCCCTCGATTGTGGCTGAAATGAGTGACCGAGTGCATCGGTTTGTGGTAGGACTTGGGCCACACCTGATTAATGAATGCTTCATGACCGCTCTGCTTGATGGTATGGATATTTCCCGCATCCAGGCTTATGCTCAGAATTTAGAAGATCGAAAACGACAATAATACGAGAATCATGATAGGGGTCAGTGTAAGAAGGCTAGGTCTGCTAGGTGACCTGGGGATTTTTTGGGCGATCCTATGTCACCATACCCTATAGAAAGTGTCTGACAGTTATAGAAGCCGTATTATGATAGATCTGTCTAATCTGAGTCAGGTCAGGGCTCGAGAATTTTCGGTTTTCATAATCAGAGGGATTCAGCACAAATGAGGGCGCCTCCTCTGCGGTGCAGTCAATGCGGTAGAGCTCATTCTGGACAATGTCATCAGGGGTCTAATGCATTTTATACCTATGGATACCCTAGTCATTACATAAGGGATTGTCCTATAAATGGAAGAAGCGGGATGGTTCATCCCACCAGATCTATAACAGTCTCCTCCTCTTTAGTACGCCCTCAAGAGCGAGGCCCTCATGCATCAGCTGGTAGAGGTAGAGGCAGGGGTGGAGCATCTAGCTCCGGCGGTAGTCAGAACCGCATATATGCTTTGGCAGGTCGTCAGGACCCAGAGGCTACACCGGATGATGTGTTAGGTATTGTGATTATTGGTAATGTTCGATTTTATTAATGCAAATTATCCAGTTAATATGATTAATATAAGACTAAGTTTGGCATTACGTATGAAGGGTTAAGGGAAACCAAGGCTAGCTTGAAAGAAAAGCATGAACCCGGTTATTAAGATTACAACCAATAGGTGTCAGCACCTAGAAGATAGATTAACATAATCATATGTGAAGAATGGATTAGGAAGTAGTTTTAGGGAGGGATGACGTCCTGACCCCGTGAGAGCATGATATTTGTTTCATTGGAGTTTAGCCGGGGAAGATATATATATTTATAATATATTGATATGTATGTACATCTTGCAAGATTAAACATTCGAGGACGAATGTTTCTAAGGGGGGAAGGATGTTACATCTCGCGTTTTCGTACGATAAAAGTTTCATCTTCAGTTAATTGACGTAGACTCAGGGATGAGATTATCTTGAGACTAACGTATTTACACTTTATAACAAGCGATAAATAAGTATCATGAAGGATAAAGGGTATACGAATTAAAGAAAATAAGTTTTGTTGAAGGTTGCCGATTTGGAATAAAATACAGGTCGAGCGTTAATACCCGATAATTACGGACTACTATCATACAAGGTATCATGACCACGATAGTATGATGTATAAAGTATATTAATAAGTAAGTGATATTTTAAGTAGTTGAGATAATTCTAAATTATACGGGTAATTGATTAATTATCGAGTAGCGGGACATTACCTAGTTAATTATTAAATTATAGGATAATAGGTGGAAGCAAGGAACCTCAAAGCTAATGACTAAGTAGTCATATAATGACTAGTGGCCATCTAACGTGTAAAATCAAAAAGTGTAGATAACATTTGGTTTCTTTAAAAAGCTTGGTTTATTCTTGGACAGGGAGGAATTTATTAAAAGTGTAAATATTTCAAACCTAGGCTTATTCAAGAAACAACACTAGGCTTCAGCTGGAAAAAAAAAAAGCTACCAAGAAAGTCTTGTAAATAATTCCAACGAGAATTGTTAGAACCGTAGCAACGTAAAATTTTACGGTTCTAAAGGAGTACGGTGCAATCTTTTTCAAGAATATTATACGGATTTTTCCTACTCCAGATATGTTAAGGCTAAGCCCTTCCTTCATTTTGGCATGATCCAATGATACATAAACGTAAATAATATACACATAGTTTAGATTCTAAATCCAGAATCACTAAGATTAATCTCTTCTGTCGTTAGAAAAACAAAAGTGGTAATATATATTTCTTGTATGAACTTCCTTATAATGACGATAGGGAATTAATGAAGTATCAAGAAAAGATATTACGCAAAAGAAAAAGACAAGAAAGATATAATATATAAGAGAAGGCATATGGAAAAACCCTTATCGCATGATTATCATCTACTACTAATTTGTATATAGAGTTCCGTTGTGTTTTAACAAACTTATTCAGCAAGGACATATATATTATAGGGCAGAAAACTCTTACCGGTCAAAAGAGTAAACTAAAATAAAACACATACAATTATCCATAATATTAACATGATTAACCACCTAGCATTAAGCTTCTCTCTTTCCTAAAATGAATTTCTTCAACACATGACATCCTTAAGAAGCGTGTACCTACGAGTGGACGTACGAGGAGACGGTGCTCCGCCGTAATTATTCCTTGGCTTTTGATCATGAGAACTGGTCAGTATTTACTTTTGTGAGTTATTTTTATTAACGGGGTAAGACTACACAATAAAGGATTTGAATGGGACAGTTATGCATCTACCACTAAGCTACGGTCGGTCGGGCTGTTACCACCGGTTGGGCAGTTATGCATCTACCACTAAGCTACGGTCGGTCGGGCTGTTACCACCGGTTGGGTAGTTATGTATTATTATTTACCACCGGTTGGGCAGTTATGCATCTACCAACGAGCTACGACCGGTCGGCGAGTTACCACTGGTTGGCCAGTTATGTATTATTATTTACCACCGGTTGGGCAGTTATGCATCTACCAACGAGCTACGACCGGTCGGCGAGTTACCACTGGTTGGCCAGTTATGTATTATTATTTATCACCGGTTGGGAATTTATGTATTTACCACTGCGCTACGGCCGGTCGGGCAGTTACCACTGATCAGTTAGGCAGTTAACGTCATTAGAACTATTATATTGTAGTTTTATTTATATATACGAGATGGGTTTTATTCTATATGTTACGGCCCACAGCGGCAAGTCAGAAGTTATAAGTTGACTCTTATCTCTCCCCGAGATAGTATCTTATTATTATTACGTTTCATTATTGCCTTACATACTCGGTACATTCTTCGTACTGAAGCCCCTTTTTCTGGGTCACTGTGTTTCATGTCACGCAGATGTAGATAGACGAGGTGAGGACCATCCACTGTAGGCTACTTCCAGATATCAGCTTTTGGTTGGTGAACTCCACATCTTCCTGGAGTATTACCGAGTTATGTTCAATATATGTTACTTTGTTTTATGAAGATGTAGGGGACCCTGTCCCGGCTTATATATTATGATCATGTTTTCTTAGAAGTTTTGCACACAGTGTCATGTGTATAACTTTAGGCATGATATGTCAATGGCCTTGTCGGCCCCTATGTATCTATATAAATCTTTTTGGAACTAGATATGTGAGTTAAGTTCTAATATTATTAATTATATATATAACTGTGGACTATCATGGTTGTGACGAGTCTTATAGAAAAAAAAGTACTTGGCGCTCGGTTGAGTAGGCACCGGGTGCTCGTCGTGGCCCTCTGATTTGGGTCGCGACAACCTGGGGGCGATACTGTACTTCCATAATCCTATTTCATATTATAGTCATCTCAATGTGATTCGCCTTACGTAGGTATTTTAATCCTGTACAATTCATGAATTCGTTACTCAATCGAAGGCCAAACATCATCATTTACTTATCACAATTACACCCTTATTCTACTACCAGGGTAGCATTCCATTTCTTCTAAATGTTATTAGTCTTAGACTCCTTTGAGTTCATTTAGGCTATACTGAGCTTTCTATAACTTAGAAAAACCATTAGCTCTCTTATTTTTATGGGCTTAATCCCGATAACTTATCCATTCTCGTAACTTTCCTTCAACTTGCTTATACCACAGATTTCCTTGTATTATTCTGGAACATCAAGCGAGACATCGCATCGTCTCTAACTATTCTTTCACTCTCTAATTAGACCTTTCGCTACTTAGAAACCATAGGCTGGAAGATATGCCACTAACGACGCTGCTATTATTCCTGGATACTGAATCCCCGCGCTTCTAGCCCCTTATTCGCAGTATGGGCTATTCATAACCTTCTGTATTTGAGTATCTTGTATGTTGTTCACCTTTTCCTTACTTACCTTAAAATATTTCCTCACATTCTTCTATCTCTTTCATAACCTCCCTTCCACATAGGTATAATTGATCTCCACAACCTAAAGCTATATTATAATACTTTCACCTTTGGTGCATACACAATCCGGTGGGAGTTTCATACTGACTTCTTATGAGGCTGGTACTCTTCAGTTGGATTCATCATAAAGCTGTTATAAAATATGGCTATTGTACTATCTCTCTTATACCTCTGCTATTTAAGAGTGATCCCGAGGTCTATAATTTTCCTGGCCCACTCATGTTTTACTTAGTCGATGTAGCTCTTTAGTTTCCTCTTCTTTCTGATCAGCCTTTATGTAGGCTTAAGCTATCTTCTGATCTGCGGCTCCTGGTATTAGTTATTACTTTAGCCTTTCATGGACACTATGGAATATCCAAGTTACAATCTTCTAACAATTCAATCATTCTCTATGACCTGGACTCAATTCTTTCTTTTACTTATACCGGAGTCTTCTACGACTGTATGACTGTCAACATATATGTTTCATGGGTAATACTTCAAAATCTTAAGTGCGTTCATAACGTAACTAACTCTAAATTATTTATCGAATAATTCCTTTCGTTCCTTCTCAACTTTCTTTAACGTAAGCTATCACTTTTCCTGGCCTATTTTCCCCTTGTCGCGTACATACTTAGCTTATATTAGTTCTCACGCATGCCAGAGTTTTCGTGCAACTCATATGACCTCGAATATTACTTTTAATTTTGCTTCACGTTCATTAGCCACAGTAGATGTCACTTTCCTTTGGAGTACTTACAATGTTGTTGTGAGACTGTTGTTACACGGTCATTTCCTCTTTCAGTCCTTGTGCTTAGGTTGAAGCCTTCTTCCTTATTTCCTTAGCTAGTCTTTCTATGTAGTACTTAGGGAGAACCCTTGATTCTTGTAAAGTTGTGTGCTTATTACGGACTTTTTGATGTCCTTCCTTGCCTATAATTATTCGTAGTTGCTTACCTCCACGCCCTTATGCATGTAGGGTTGCTACTGAACTGATATTTTGACTGTCTTCCCAGTGGCACTCTCTTTTATCTCTGCAACATTCATACGGTACCTTTAACTATCCCGAATCGTATTTGAATACATCTCAAGTATTATAATGACATTACTGTTGTTGATACCCAATTTTTCCCATAATATTTTCAAAACTATGACTGGACATCAATTAGTATTTTTCATACAATTTCTGCATTTTTAAAATATTTTAATTAATTTCTCCCAGCATTTTACTTATAAAACAATCACTGATTGCATCACAAATAGTTTCATAATAATTTTTGTGGCTTAATTTTATCATTTGCATTTGTACTAAGTTTCAATTATTGCACAAATAAGCCACATTTGTATTTTTAGGATGCAATTGCAATTACTTTGCAATTATAGCCTATGCATGCATTATTACATTATTTTACCAGAAAATAACCTTTTATATTTTTAAAATATTAAGTAATTATTTTAAAAAAAATTTAAGCATGAAAATTATTTTTACAACCTATTAGTTATTTTTAAAAATTATTTTATAAATTAAATGGGTATTTAATAAATGGCCCTCTTATTTTCGGACTTAGCCTATTAAAACAGCCCAATTTCTAATCCCACGTTAGCCCAAAATCTACCCAGGCTCAAATCTCATCTG